ATAATAATAATAATAATCACTACTATTAAAAAGGTCCCTGCTGAATAGAAATGCTAAGCTAAAATAGATTGCACTATAACAACAATAATAATAATTATTATTATTATTATTAAGGTCCACGCAGGGACCTTTTTAATAGTGATTTTCAGACTAATGATAAAAACCCCTTACAAAAATTTTAGCTTAAATATGACAACTAAAAGCAAAAAAAAAAATGTTTTTGAGGGGAAAAATTTTTCCCTGGGCAATATATTTAACACTTTTTTTTGTAGTCAACAATTTAATATTATAAACCTTTAAAAAAAACAAAAGTAAAATGTGTTTAAAACGTAAAAAAAAAAAAAAAAAAAAACTAGCATCAGTCCTATTATTTGTAATTGCTTTCAGATAGCTGGATGTTCACATAAAGACCTTTGTTATGCATTCATGGTAAATAAGAATACAGGCATTTATTCTGAATTATTATATAATAATGAATGTCACATTCTCACAGAACATTTATAATGCAGTGTGCTTGTAGCTAGAATCAGCCACAGCACTATTAACCGTTTCTCATGTAACTCAGAATCTAGTTTATTTTTACTAAACGTCTAAATAGTTCTCATCAAGCTGCAGACGCTGCCACCGGTTGCTCTCACAGGAACCAAATCAGGCTCATGCTCGTTTATTATTACATCACTGCACTACACCTTTTCTTATTCACTCAATCAAGAGCGCAAAGAGGAGCACTTCTGTTGCTGTGCCAACCAAGACAACACAATGGACTCAGAACGTCACGTCGAACGCTGCAGTGCATCCAGACTGAACACAACTCAACTCCAGCTTACTTTACAGCTGATCTTAAACCGACAGACGCATTTGTTCTGGTCAGCGAGGTGACACATGTAACACTAGCACTAGTATCAAAGGAGGAGACAGAAATCTGAGGCAGAAATATAATACAATTGGTTTTATTCTGCAGTTTCTAGGTTACGTGACTTGGCAGATGCAGAGATCAATATCGGCAATGAACACTGGCCGTCTTTTTGAGCATTAAAAACAAGCCTTTGAGACATAATGCCACTGTTTTCAATAGATTCAAAAGATTTTAATATCATTTTGAAATATTTGTAATCACAAGTTTGCCCAGAGGGACCAAAACCTGGGGGTTTCGAAGCTCGTAAGTGAAAATCACAACAAAAAGTTTGCCATTGCTAACAAAAAGGAGATTAATACACAGAGACATTTTTACAAGATCAATAATAATAAATCACTAGACATTCATTTTTACAATAAAAACAGTTCTGCACAAAACATTTTGAAGGCAAAATGCAACAGGATCAAACCAGATAGGGCAGAAAGAAAAGGCGTATTTATTTTCTTTACTTCCTCAAATGAATCACAAAAGCTGACAAATAGGACTTAAAATTACATAAAGAGAATTGTTTTTGTTTTTTTTTGGTTTTCAATTTTTTTGAAATATATATATATAATTTCAAGAGTATACCGCAAAAAAAAAAAAAAAAAAAAAAACAAAGCTGCACAATAAATGTTGTTATTCGTGACGCATAAAGGCACACAGAAACAGACAGGCTGCACACTGACTCGGCAGAAGCTATCTTACGGAGTTTCACAATTTTTTTATTTGTATTTTTATTCATTATTTATTTAAAGGGATAGTTC